GATCAGAATGGATGTTTGGCCAAGGATCGCGACGCCACCCGAAATACCCAAATAAGATCTCGATTCCACAGCATCCGTCACCATCGTATCCATGATCACGAACTTGACGCCGCAACGCTCCAAGTCCAGCTCCCCGCACATGCAGCACCACCGCGGCCATCTCTTAGTCAAGCGTCTCCAATCACGGCTCTACAGACCCGTGAGATGTAACATTGACCGTTGCTGCATACCTTTCGATTTTTAATCATTATTATCATCCGGATCACGCGAAATCCCAAAAACAAAACGCTTTATATTGACCGCGATTGTATACGGAACAATGGCAGCACGTTTTGGATGATAGCGTCCTTTCGACAGCAGCTTCGCTTTCTCGGGCACCTCTTCGTCATTGCCCGTGACGGTGAATCGCTCCCAATACTTGCCGATTTTTAGCAGTGTCCGCCTCTGCTGGCCCCCGAACTTCATGAAGTTCAACTAGCGACTTATCGCGGTCTTTTGCCATGGCACCAAAAATCGCAGCACCGCTACCATCGTCACCAGCTACTTGCCAGGTGCAGCAACAGGTGCCGACATATTTATTTGGACACGAACAACTCACGAATCGCGCCACGGATGCCCACCGAGGTCTTTTCTTGAGCTTCCTTAGACAAAGTACCTCCGTCCGCAGCCCTTGACACCAACTCACCAAATTTTTCCTTATACAACCGCAAATATTCGATTTTGAAATCCTCCTCAACGGATGACAACCGAACTTGCAGCTTGTCAGTCTTGATCCTCTGCTGCCGCACCTTGTTGGCCAAAACGTGTGCCTGGGCGTGTAAAGGCTTGGCAGCGTGATCTTCATTTCACAGTCGTGAGAGGTCCTTCGAAATCGCCTCCCTGTGCCCGTCAGCCCACGAGCCCGTGAACGACTTGATGGCAGCAAGTGCCGCCTCCAAAGGCTTGATCTCCGATTGCCTCTTCTTCTTCTTCTCCATCTCCGACGAATCATCAGTAGGCTCATCATCATTAGCGCCAGAGCCAACATCCATGTCTGCTGCAGCAAGGTCACGCCCAGAGGTACTAGTCTTAGGATACATAGCCAAGTCACCGCGAAGTTCCACAATGCGCTTGACGTGTTGGGCTGACGAGCCACCTCCACGCCAAGGACAACCTTCAGTGTCCACATCCTTGTTGTCAATCCGGCGCTTTTTCTCAGACGGCGAAGCTGGCTCCACGTTCCCTTTGAACGCATCCGTCTTATGCTTACAGCATTCGAAGCATTCAAGACTACTGCCCAAGTTGATGAGCTGCTTGCCCGCTTTGGGGTGTTTGCAGTTCTTGCAGTGCCAATCATGCCATTAAGTATTCATGACAATGGCTGCTGTTGCTCAGCCACGTCCCAGCGGAGACAAAGGCGGCCCAGAAGAGCAGCTGCAGCAATGGGATAGCGAGGACAGCACAGCGGCGGGTCCCCGATCCCGTCCTGCACGTAGTCATTGTAGCATGTGTCTGCGGGCCGCTGACGCACGCCGCTCTGAATGTTTGCGTCAGCAAACTCAGTAAGAAGATCCGAGCCAGAACGGCTTAAACAGGGAGGAGGAGGAGGAGAAGGAGGAGGATGAGAATGAGGAGAAGGAGACAGAGGAGCCGTTGGAGGAGGAAGATGATGAGGAGGAGCGTTCAGAATCGTTCTGTCAGAGATCGATCGGGGGCTGAGAGCGGGTCGGGGTGGACCTTGGGGAGGGGTCAGGGGAGGGATTTTGAGCGGGGAGTGGTAGGATTAGGGGGGGGGGGGCGAGGACCAGGATCAGGATGATGACGATAATGATGATGAGGAGAAGAGGCGAAGATGAGCGATGAGGAGGAGGAGGAGGAGGATTATCGTAATGGTCAGGATGATGATGACGATGACGATGACGATGACGATGACGACGATGATGATGATGATGATGATGATGATGATGATGATGATGATGATGATGATGCTGATGATGATGATGATGCTGCTGCTGATTAGGATGCTGGTGGTGGTGATGATGATGATGATGATGGTGCTAATGCTGCTTGCTTATGATGATGATGGTGGTGATGGTGATGATGGTATGGTGATGACGATGATGATGCCGATGACGATGAGGATGTCGATGCCTATGATGCTGACGATGATGAGGATAGGGACGACGACGATGATGCTGATGATGCTGATGATGGTGAGGATGGTGGTGGTGGGGATGACGATGATGATGATGATGATGATGATGATGATGATGCTAATGATGATGGTGATGATGATGCCGATGATGCTGACGATCATGATGATGACAGTGATGATAATGTCTAGGCTGCTGATGATGTTGAGTACGAGTATGGCGATGATGTTGACGACGATGATGATGATGATGAGGAGGAGGATGATGGTGATGCGGCTGATGACGCTGACGATGATGACGATGACGATGTCGATGATGCTGCTGATAATGCTGTTGCTGCTGCTGATGATAATTCGCTGATGATGGCGACGATGGGGATGATGATGCTGATGATGCTGATGGTGCTGATGATGCTGATGGTGATGATGGTGATGATGATGATGATGATGATGATGATGATGATGATCATGATGATGATGATGATGATGATGATGA